ATTCTCAGCGGTTCAAACAACAAAAGCACTAGTCCATCCAACCAAACCTCAAGCAAATTTTTCGCGAGATTCACTTAACGCATTAATACCTGTGTATATTTTTCCGTCACAATTGAAAAGTGAAATTTTAACAAAGTTTAAATTTGATTAATCGTAATTCCATTTAATTATAATAACTATCTGTTAACACAATTTTCCTTTATAATAGTTTTATTGGTTTCAAAAATTATCCTTAGCTTCTTATAGTATTTCTGAATTCGCTTATGTTATGGGCAAAAGTCTTGGATGTATGGCTATACAAAGTGGAAAAATTATATATCTCATGAAATGTAAACCAGTACAAGTTGAATTAGCAAAAAAAGAAACTTGCTCTCATGAATTACCTGTAATATTTCACAATGAATCATACTTTATGTACCAAAATCTCATATTTTATAAAAATTGTGTACTGAAATAACATGCAATAATCTTTACCTTCAGCTTATTTTTTAGATGGAGATTGGTTTGGACTAACTCCTCACTTAATCGAAATTAAGAGTCCACAAAATTTAAAACCAGAAATCAAAATCACTTGGACATATAAATCACCTGAACATCTTAAGTCTGATGGCATATATAATAGGGATACTATGCAAGCATTACAAAGACATTTAATGTTCACTCAGAAAATAAATGCAATTCAAAATAACATAATTCGTCTAGCTTAAGAATATGAAATTTGTGGACAACAATTAAAACTACACCACTTAATAGATCGAAACATATTAAGTACTGAGATAGAAAATAAATTATATCAAATGTGGGGGTGGTTCACTTACTTTGGTTCATTTACGTCAGGTTTATTATAAATTGTTTTTGTATTTAAAATAATATCAATAATCATTAATGCATGTATAAACATATCATTATTATATAATACATTTGGTTGGAGTGCAAGATTAATGGCAGGTATGTTTAATAATATTACTCATTATTTTATATATAAACATCATCAACAAAATTAATAATCAAAATTAGATTTAACAAAAATTAATTTATCTGATAAAAATGATACACCAGTAAAAGTTAAATCTTTTATTTATCCAGATTTACAACTAACCACTCATTAAAAATTTCAAATGACGAAGTCAATATTCCTATATATCAATACAAATATCCATGGTATTTCAATAAACCAATAATAACTCAGTATGACTCAGAAAAAATGTATGATTCCAACAAATTTTATATAAGGTGCCATGGAAGTACAATGTATATATTTCCAAAAAAAAATTAAAAATTGAAAGTATATCAACAAAAAGAAAAAAATTATAGTTAAAGAAATTATAAAAAAACAAAATAAATAATATAATTATTATATAACCCTATCATATTATATATAATAAATTAAAAATATTATTAATTATTATGAAATATAATATAGCTGTAATTATAACATAAGTTAAAAAAAATTATTATTCTCAATAAATGTAATGAATATGTAAAATTAAAATGTACTCATTTTTCAATGAAAGACATTTCTTTTTTCTTTTCAAAGAATAAATTTAATTGAAAAGAAATTAGTTTGGGAAAAATTTAATTAAGCTATTCACCTACATTACCATCTGATTCACTATCAACATTAAAAATTCCACCTATACCAAAAATAAATTTACAAGCCAATAGAAAATATGTTACAATACTATTGAAATTACGTATGAAATTATCATTTAAAAAAATAAAATACCATGAACTGTACAAATGCAAAGAGATTAACCAAATGGCAACAGAAAAAATGTGGAAGAAATTAGCACAACTACAAACAGAACAATTACCTATGGGCATAGATCTTCTGATGTATGAATCTAACTGTATGTATTATTTTGCAATCAAAGCCATTGATGAAAATGGAATAAGTTCGCCTTATGAACAAGCTCAAATTTATATAACAGATTAAAAAAAATTTTTTTTTTTATTATTATTTCAATTTTTCTATCACAAACATAACTTTTCTATACATTATTATTATATTATATTGTACACTTAACTTAATATCATAAATATATTTTTGATTTTTATAAATTATTGTATTAGGTTAAATATTAAATAACTTTATGTAATCTAAAATTGTATGTTGTGAGGTCACAACATCTAAAAAAATAGGGTAGGTGTTATAATAATAGTATTAACGTGACAGTATTATTGTTTATTAACAAAAAATATTGTAAACTTTTATCACAATTAAACAATATGTCAATAAAAATATTTGGAAACACTAATGATGTTGATCCGATAAGTAAATTTTAAAAAAGTATAAAAAACGTGTTAATGTGGTAAAAAGACAATTGCAGATAGAATCTCTCAGAGTCACTTTGTTCATCAACATCATCAGTGTGATGAGACACACTCTTAAAAAAAAAAAAATACGTTTTATTTAAAGGAAATCTATTCAAATGTAAGCAAAAATGCTGAACATAAAATTTTAATATAAAGAATAAAGTTTAAATAAGTACTTTTGGTAAAACTGGATCTATAACGAGCAGATTTTGTTTGAGCTGTTATTTTACGGTTAGCGATTGCTCTGGAATTCTGGTAAATTAAAATTTATACATAATTATATATGTGGTGATATTTCTTTCCTTTGGGATTGTATTAGTAAAAAAAAACCCTCGGAACACTGACCCCGATATCAAAATAACTCAGAAAAAAAATAAGGAATTAAACTTAAGAGCATAAGAGTCTCACTTATTTTAATATCTATATTCAAACCACACACTCATATCTTATATATTATTTTATATTTAATTTTTTTCTATTCTTTTAATAATTCCACTCTTTTTTAATTACAACAATTGATAAGGATAAATCGCTAATGAATCTTACCACCATTGGACCATCTGATTTCTCAGCTACTTTACTCATAATTTTATACCAAATATACGGAACTTTCTCTTTATAGTCAAAATTTCTTCATCTACATTTCTAATTCCAACAAGTTTCTTTGTTTAATTCGAGCTCATCGTCTCGAAGATTTTTCCGTTTTTTGAGAATTTATTCCGATACAATAATTTAAAATCTATCCCCCGCTATAAACAAGCCATTGGTTACTCATATTCGCCAACTCAACCGATAAAATACTAATATGTGTATTAAGATGATCATAATGAACTTATAGCTTGATTGAAACTTTTATACGCTGTGAAATTAGTCGGAAATACAAATGTAAAAAACGGCTATAGCAAGAGAGGTCTGTGTCATAATATCCTTAATGCTTTGCATTACGCATCTTACATTTATTAATGAAAAATTTATAATCTATATTTTATATTACTTGTAAACAAACAAAAAACTTACTGTCATAACATGTACACTGTTCAACACAATTTCTTATTATTTATATATATGTCAATTTATCAATTGTTAAATATACTATCTCAATATAATAATCATGTAATGTATAATTAAATACAATAAACTAAAAAGATCACTAAAAGCGCTGACAACAATATCCTTGGATTGGGGGTACTATCATTTACTATTAAAAGCACTGAAATCCTTTCAGACAAGAGAGAGAGTGACAAGAGTTCGCTTTCGCCGAATTCAAATAAGAAAACAATTGGTAGACACAAGCCTGTGTTGTTGTCGGCTATTTTTTTATGCGTCTTGATTATATACATTCGAAAAGAATTTGTTTTAATTATCTATTTTTGTGACGAAGTACGAATCCAACACTCATAAGTGTATATATACATATCGAATCATCTCTCACAGCAATTGGCTAGAAAAAAAGAAGTCAGTAAATTTATGTTATCCCAATTATTTAGAGTTAATAAGTTTGAGTAAAGGATGACAAAGCAATAGATCATTTTTTAAATTAATATCTTAAAGTGTTAATTTTGACTGGTTGGTTAAAATATTATACATAATCACGTTATGAGGTATTCGTGAACTGGCTCCGCTGTCTCGTTACCTCTTAGATAGGATATTAGAAACTAATTAGTCAAAAGTTTATTACCCCTAAATTAGAGGTACTGGGTTATTATTTTTATATCTACTTGTCTTTGTCTTTGAATCATACGACTCCGATAGAACCACAACATCAGGTTCTCACCATATACAAACCCAACCCCAAAATTTCTTTATTTTTATTTTATTATTTTTGTTATTTGAATTATAACATCTGTAAATGTGCTATAATATTATGATTAAAGTATCTGAAAAAATTCCATCGACATATGTTTTATCCTTTAATTTTTAACTCTCGTATTTGTAATAATAAACACATGAACTTCAAGTTAAAAATTTTAACGGAGATAACATAATTAATCCCCAATGCACTAAAATCTTTAATAGGCCATTGAACACGTGATACAAACATTAATAATAAATTATTATGCTTAATCAAATAACAAGTAAAATAATAAGTTATTTTTTATTCATTTAAAGTATCAGGACTTTACTTGTTCTAAATTCGTGAATACATATATTTTTGTTATTACCGTTGTAATATTTGATATTTTCTATTAATTCTTCGTCAAATAAATGTTGTAAATACACAGAATTTAGTCATTATTTAAAATATTTTTATTGTTGATTTTAGGTTGGTGTATTTTTTTATATTATTATATTACATATACTTCTTGGAAGAAAAGGCAAACTCTAATTTTAGATTTACTTGAATTTATGTTATAATTAAATTTGTGATAGATGATACTTTGATACTTTGTTTAAGTTTGCTGTTTTCTTTCATAGTTACTATTTTTAAAAACAGTTAAATTTAAATCTCATTATAGTAACCTAACATGACAAATTTATGTTTCACATAACATGATTATTTTTTATATTTTTTGTTACTTTTGTTTTATATTATTTTCTAATCTATATATTTATAAGCAAAAGTGCTTTTTAATCTTGTCTACTTGTATACTTTGGGTTTCAAAAAAAAAATTGTTGTTATCAATGTAATGATGACTTTGTTTAATTACATTAAATAGACAGATAGAACAAATAAAACAAATATTACTAAATTATACAGTTTATATATTTCAAGTAAAATTTTCTATGTTTTAGAGTATAGTACAAAGGCTGCATTCTAATATGTAATTATTAAAATAATCTAAAAGAAATATCTAATAATTACGTTAGAATAATGAATATTCTAATGTAATAATTAGATAGTTTTATAAACTAAATTTGGTCAACGGTGGACATACGTAATCAATGCTCATAACAGAAAGATGTAACAATTCTATTTAACTTGAATATGAGCATAGACTGAACGCGAATATTTAAAATAATACAAATGTTTATATCAATAGTTAAAATAATATTTCATCTGACCCTGTCATTGATTAACTAACTGTATCGATGCACAAACATCTAAAATTGATGTTTTTTTGAATTTTAATAAATTATGTATGTAACTTGTAGTTTTACCTCAATTATTATAATTTCAATATAAAAAGTTTTTAATTCAAAATTTGTTGTTTGTGTATATTGTATGAATCATCAATTTATAAATCGATTTAATGGTTTATTTAATAAATCATAAGTATATGTATTATATGAATTATATGTATTTATAAATTTTGTTTGAGACACTTTGAAGAGCCCCAAATTTGTGCAATTTTGTCGTGGAATTATTTAGGAACGTAAAAATATTATTTTTATTAGGGTCGAGATTAACCCCCTTAATTAACCAAAACTATAATCTCGGTAGCCACACATTACTAAGCTCTAGAATTAATAAAATTAATAAAGTTTCAATTAATAAAAATTTATGCTGGACAATGGTATGTTTGGAATAATTTAACAAAATTGTTTAAATGCATATAATGTGTGATCTAATCATAATAGACAAAAATAACTTTTCTATGTATAATATTTATTAATCGAGGTAAAACTTTTAATCAATAATTTTTATCATTTTATTTTTTTATAATATAAAAATACAATGAATTATAGAAGCTTAAACAAAATAATTCTAACAAGAATTGCATTTTTTCGAAGATTCAGCAAAAGCTTTTTCAAACAAAGGGGAACTTTTTTCTTCATCTTTTAGACCAAATGCACCCTAGTATTTAAAAACAAATTAAAAATTAATTAAATTCAAAGTAGATAAAATCAAAAAATATGTTCTACTTTACCTGATATTTGGAACGTTTTTTTATTAGCTTGGCTAGAGCTTGAAAAGCGTCTTCTACGTTTACATCCATTTTGCAAGATACTTCAAAGAATGGCATGTCGTAGCATTCCGCTATCTTAAAAAAAATAATGAAATTTATTACTGGACCTATACGTAAATACTAGATAAAGTAGTATAATTTAATTTACGCTTACTTTTTCTCCGTCTTGTTTGTCCACAGCTCTTAAAACATCGTTATCACATTTGTTACCCACTAAGACTTTGATCACGTCCGGCGAAGCGTTCTAGATACACAGTAGAAGTAGTAAGTGTAAATTAAATTTGTCATCGTTAAATGATTTATGAAATCACCTCTTGTATATTTTTTAGCCAATAAGTCAAATGATCGAATGAATCTAGGTTTGTAACATCATAAACTAGCAGTATACCCATTGCACCCCTGTAATAAGCTGTAGTCAGTGTACGAAATCGTTCCTGACCAGCCGTATCCCTGTAAAAAAAATATATATATTTAATTCGTTGTTACAGTTCTAGATACAAATACTTCAAGCATTCGAAATAGTTGACGTATATCAGTAAAAATGTTTAAATAATAGTTATTTTTATGCCTTATTATGCATCAACTACTCATTAATGTGTTAATCTATTGATTCATCATATGCTTTTTGAGTTTTAGATTAAATAATTTCAGCTTTTAAAAAATGTATACGTGTAAAATAAATAAAAATTAGCTTACAATTTTCTAATACTACTAAAGTAATCTAAATCCTATTAAAAAAATATTTCGAAATAATAATCATTCGAATTAGATTTGTTTTTATATAATTATTTACTTTAATTAATTTCAGATAATAATGAATTTAATAACATTTATTACAGTATAATTAATGTGTGTACTTTTGTTATGTTAAGATGTATGCTTATATGTTATAATTAAACCAGAACTTATGATTATTTACACTAAATACTATACTTACCATATTTGTAATTTAACTGGCTTATCGTCCAGCTGAATAATCTTTTGTTTGTAATCTACACCTGAAATTGCATGTATTATCGAATTAACTTAATTTATAAATAAAATAAAATACGTAAATTTATTGCTCATAATTACTAATCCATATAAAATATCAATAAAAAATTAAATGATAAATAAAATTTCATTATGCTGATATATATTTGATAAAATAATTATTTAGCATAAATAATAAAATTATTTTTTAATCAAAATCTTCATTAAATAGATATAGTCTATACTGATATACTCCGTCCGCGTTTCATACCTACTTGATAAGTACTAATCCTAAAATTATCATAGATACATCAATTTTTTTTTAATAAAAGGGCTAAAAAAATAAATCCATTGAAATTAAAAAATAATAATAAATAAAAATTTATTTTTTCTAATTAGTAATAAGTAATAAACAATATACATTGAACGTAGTCTAAGAAGGAAATTAATATTTTTTGAAAAATTTCTATGAATTATAATTGGTTAAAAGTCATACTAGTGATGCCAGTAATATCTTTGACTCCCTATATATAGATATATTTATTTTATTTTAGTTAAAATGAGAGTATTAAAAATTGGTAACTAAAAAAAGTACAAATACATTTAAAAAAAATGTATAATTATCATTATAACCATTACATAATTGATCAAATTTTCCAAAAAAATATTTAAAAATAGGATTATTAAAAATGATTTTTCTTATTAAATAATTGTTATTTTTTAGATTAATATTTATCCAAGTTAATCAAATTTTATTATCTGATTATTTCGTTATTGATTTTTATACTCCAATAATTATTCNTTTTTTAGATTAATATTTATCCAAGTTAATTAAATTTTATTATCTGATTATTTCGTTATTGATTTTCATACTCCAATAATTATTCATAATTATCACACCAAATAATTATCCTGTTTTTAATTTATCTTAAGTAAATACAGTATTTCTTTTTATTATTTTATCATTTTAGCTAATTGTTGTTATAATAATTAACAAAGTTCTGTTGATGATAGAATACATATGAGTAAAGAGATTTACAATTATGATTATGAAACATAATTATTTTATTATATGTTGTGAAATATTATTTCTGTATGATAATTGTTCATGTTTACTAAAAATAAAGAATTTTATGCCTAAGATAATAAAAAATGCCTCCTCTTGACCTATATTTTTACAATATATATATTTATAAAAAGACAAATTCAGTTTTCGATACATTTGAATCCTAAAAACACATAATATTTACTAATAAATATAATCACTAATAGACAAAGTGTAATAATTTATAGAAAAAATATAAATAATAAAGTGTAAGTGTTCTATATAATATGTAATTAATAGTACTGCTCCTTAAAAGCCTCTAACAATTTCAACGCTCCAAACACATACCCCCTAAGTCTCTTTCNTGTTATTTTTTAGATTAATATTTATCCAAGTTAATCAAATTTTATTATCTGATTATTTCGTTATTGATTTTTATACTCCAATAATTATTCATAATTATCACACCGAATAATTATCCTGTTTTTAATTTATCTTAAGTAAATACAGTATTTCTTTTTATTATTTTATCATTTTAGCTAATTGTTGTTATAATAAATAACAAATTCCTGTTGATGATAGAATACATAAGAGTAAAGAGATTTACAATTATGATTATGATACATAATTATTTTATTATATGTTGTGAAATATTATTTCTGTGTGATAATTGTTCATGTTTACTAAAAATAAAGAATTTTATGTTTAAGATAATAAAAATGCCTCCTCTTGACCCATATTTTCACAATATATATATTTATAAAAAGACTAATTCAGTTTTCGATACATTTGAATCCTAAAAACACATAATATTTACTAATAAATATAATCACTAATAGACAAAATGTAATAATTTATAGAAAACATATAAATAATAAAGTGTAAGTGTGATAAAGTGTGTTATATGATATGTAATTAACAGTACTGCTCCATAAAAGCCTCTAACAATTTCAACGCTCCAAACACATACCCCTAAGTCTCTTTCTAAAATTATATTTGTACACGTAGAACATTAAAAAATACACATCAAAAGTTCAAAAATAAAGTTCAGGAGTTCATTGTTNCTAAGTCTCTTTCTAAAATTATATCTGTACACGTAGAACATTTAAAAATACACATCAAAAGTTCAAAAATAAAATTCAGGAGTGCATAGTTTACCAAAATTGCGTAAAAAGCCAATACGTTAGATTCATGAAAAACATTTTTACAAATATATCTAATTAAAGAGATTAAACAAGTTTAATGAAACAATAAAATATATTTTGGCNAGAATACATAAGAGTAAAGAGATTTACAATTATGATTATGATACATAATTATTTTATTATATGTTGTGAAATATTATTTCTGTGTGATAATTGTTCATGTTTACTAAAAATAAAGAATTTTATGTTTAAGATAATAAAAATGCCTCCTCTTGACCCATATTTTCACAATATATATATTTATAAAAAGACTAATTCAGTTTTCGATACATTTGAATCCTAAAAACACATAATATTTACTAATAAATATAATCACTAATAGACAAAATGTAATAATTTATAGAAAACATATAAATAATAAAGTGTAAGTGTGATAAAGTGTGTTATATGATATGTAATTAACAGTACTGCTCCATAAAAGCCTCTAACAATTTCAACGCTCCAAACACATACCCCTAAGTCTCTTTCTAAAATTATATTTGTACACGTAGAACATTAAAAAATACACATCAAAAGTTCAAAAATAAAGTTCAGGAGTTCATTGTTTACCAAAATTACGTAAAAAGCCAATATGTTAGATTCATGAAAAACATTTTTACAAATATATCTAATTAAAGAGATTAAACAAGTTTATTGAAACATTGAAATATATTTTGGCTTTTAAAATTCTTGAAATTATTTAACTCTCTATGTTTTCCTAAATAAACTAATGGTATTTTAAACTTCATATTAGGTATTAGAAAAAAAAATGTAATAATTTATTTAATATTTATAGTCTTAATAGTAGGATTTTAAAATTACATTAAATATATTTTTGTAAAAAAAATGTCATAAAATATATAATTTAAAAAGAAATATTAGTTTTTTAATGTTAATATTAACTAATTGATATATAAAGTTAAAATATATGAAGTTAATATATACTAAAATTCTTGTATCTTCATAAGTACTTATTCTTAAGTTATTATCAAGCCATTATTGATTTTTATAAGAAAAAGCCTAAAAATGCTTTTTAGAAATTTTGAAGAAAAAAAATTAATTTTTTTTTTATTACAGTAAAATAATATTATATGCTTTTACCTAGTCCAGAACTGTAAAAAATAAAAAGTACATCAAAATATTCCCTAGATCAAAAGTAATTAAAGATGTTAGAATATGACAAGACATTTTTATAGTACAATGGTGAATACATGGGAAAAGGTTAGGGGAATATATCTTCCATTGGCATAAATTTCTTGACATTTTTGTACGATTTTTATTATATAAATTTTATAATTTGAAAACTTTATATAAGATAAATTATTAGACGTAATAATATGAAGAAATTATTAACTCTATAAATTCGGGAGAATAAATTTTAAGTTTTGGTTACTATTAATACGTAGGCAAATTCAACAGAATACTATTCTATAGTAAATTTAATATTTGAAATAATTTTATTACAAAATTATAAGTTCAGTAAAATTACTATAATTTTTTTTTCCTCTCACAAAAACTCAACCATATACTTATATGTATATATATATACATATATGAAGATATACCATATATGTAAATAAGTCTAATAACTTGACTGTTTCTTTCGAAAAACGCACTACAATAACAGCACATAAAAAAAAAATAGCCAAAATATTACATCTATTTATTTATGGCCGTGTACAGAAATAGGAAAATTAATATTTTTTTAAATTTTCAATAACTATTTTACAAGACATGAAATTTTCAATTTTGAAAATTTTTACTTGAAATAGTTCAAATTTAAATCCTTAATTATTTGCAAAATAGTAGCATACTATTTTATATATACTTATCCAATCTACTACATATAAGTAAATTCTGATAAAACTTAAACCCAAACAAAAATATCCACCTGATTCGAAAATAAAAAAATAGTCGATGCAAGAATTAGAGAGTTAAAAACAAGTATTACCTAAATCATTAGTATTCGAGCCATGATCAAAAGTATGTACATATATTTTCCACATGGTACCCTTTGTAAATCATACCCTACGCATACAAAACTTTAGTAGTTACAAAATTCTATATTTTACGTCACGCTCGATAAAATTTCAAAGTTATTGTAATCTTTAAAACATGAATATTGAAAAAAAAACCCAGCACAGTGGTGACGTGGGATAGTTGGATCAAGTATGATATCTGACAGTGATTAAAATCACTATCAAAAAATAACGCTTCGATGCAAATCTTTAGTTAGTGTTTAATTTTAAAAAATGGGTGTATTATTCCAAAAGCTACATGATATAATAGTTCCTTAATACTATCCTGATTAAGATATAGTATGTTAAATAAAAAGGGATTATAAAAAAATATTATTTCTTATAAAAAATTGTATTGATCCATATATTTGTNAATACTACTTCTCATGAAAAAATTGTATTGATCCATACATTTTTTAAAAAGTTATAGCACTTTAAAGTAAAAAATGTAAATTATAAAATCGAAAATTTTCACACAAAAATTGCATTCGGTAGCCGTTTTCACCATGAAGACAAGTCCAGAGGTCAAATATTTTTTTTTTCAAATTAAAGTACATTACATTAGCTTTAATTTAAGATATATATAAAAGTGTCAGACCTTCCGGAACATTTTCAAAAGTTAAGTTGAAAAAGTTAATTTTTTGTGAAAAAGTTGTCATTTTAAATCCCCCCCTGTGGGCAGAAAAAAGGTCAAATTTACAAAAAAATATATACCAAATGATAGATAAAGATATCAAGCATTTATATAAAAAACAATTATATTGATATGTTCATTTTTGAAAAAGTTACGGCAGTTTTTAGTAAAAAAAATTGAAAAAATTTCGAAAATTAGCGATTTTTAAATTTGTAATTTTTTTGGAGGTTTCCCCCATTTACGGGGAACGAGGGAAATTTTTTCAATTTTGAAGGGTAATGTCTTCGACTAGATACGATTTGTGATCTTTTGACGTATCGTTGAAAGAAATCCGTTCGGTGAGAGCTGAGAATAAGTGTTAACAGACACAAAAAAAAAAAAACACATCATAGTAAAACCAATACCTTCTCAGCTTCGCATCGAAGCTAAAAAAAATTCATAAGCTAATTTATGACGAGACTTTTGTATTGATTTTTAATAGAATAACAAAATAATGACAAAATGACTAATAATTTAGCCCAAGTGATTATCTCCTCGCCTTTTGAAATCCTTTAATCTTCATCATTGTTATCGGGATAAGCTATATCATTTATCGAAACAAACTAAGGTAAAACAAATAAAACTTTAACTGTATGTAGGTCAAACGTAACAGCTAATAAAAGTATTTTACAAAAAATAAACCCAAGGTTGTTAATTGATTGCCATTGTTAAGTCTTAATGAAACCGTTCATTTCCAGGAAAACTGTAAAATTGATTACTTCCTGTAAACATTAACGGTTTTTATAATATATATGTTTTTAATATTAAATCCAATAAATATGAAAAAATGTTAATATTAGAAATTTCCTTAAACTTTTGTTTTAATAACAAATTGTATGTTATATCATGTATTAAAAATTTAAGAAATATTTTATTATAATAAAATATTTAAGTGTCAATTTTGTCGTGTTTCAAAAACCTATAAAAATAAGTGAATATACCAAAGGTATATCAACTAGAATATTTATAATGAAACAAATTTTTTCAAAACAAACATGATTTTAACATCAGTCAAAAAAGAATTATTGAAACGAATGGCACAAAAATAAAATAGTTGAAACAGTGTGTGAACACAGCTGATCGTTTTCAAGAATTATCGACCACCAGTTGTATGTGATGTACAATAGTTTTTTTGCAAGTAATATTCGCAAAAGTCTCTTAGGATAAACTTATTGGATAAAAGTTTATATTTATTAGCTTGTGCACCTACATTGTTCTTAAAAGGGACCTTTTAAAGCTTAATTAGTTTTGAGTAGTTAAGCAAAAAGAAAAGTATTTCTCATATTGTTCACCAATGTTTCGTACCTCAAGTTAGTGCGGATAATTTAATGAATATACAAACTTCACAAGGGAAAATGAATATATACTTATTTTTATTCGTCATGGGAAGATGATAATCTAATTATCGATCGTATAATAAGTTTAAAAATTCAACTGATATTTATTGAACGTTCATTATTGCACACAAACTAAAGATAATCTAATCAATAAACATAAACGTTCGAATATCAATGCATGAATAAAAATTAAAAGCCAATACTGATTACAAGTTACGGGTGTATAAGTACGAGCAATATAATCTGATATATACAAACCTATAGTGGAAATGTATGTGTCGTAATAAGTCTCATCGCAAAATCTGTGCATCAAACACGTTTTACCGACGTTCGAGTCGCCCAACACGAGCACTTTGAACGATTCGCCGGCGTTCATATCGTCGCGGCATCGCCCTGTGAGGACAACTAACGTTATTGGGGAATTGTGTGTTGACCGTCACGACGTGGTCGCACTAACACCATCGATCCCTTCCGTGTAATCGTGGCGATATATCGATGTTGTGTGAAATGTACTTGCTCTCGCCCTCCGACCCTGCACCTCCCCCTTCAAAATGTATGACTCACAGGCACCGTCTGTTTTTTTTTAATATACGCCGAGGCACATGGAAGGCGTTCACACAGTGCAGTATCGATTGAGGTACTGCCATTTTCAACCCTCTCGTGCTTGTAATAGCGCAAGTATCGCCACTTCTACATGAAATTATTTTTATGTTCTTTTTCCGTCGTATGAACTGCATGGAAACTTCAGAGTTAAGTTTAATTTTTACGGGCATCGTTGTTTAACAGAGTAGAAACGTAACAATAACAATGTACTTGTAAAATACAGAAAATAGGTCATATTTTTGACGATATTCTAAAGCTTGTACACAAAAAAACCGGTGTAGTTATTAAAGACTTGCAAAAATCTATCAATACACTTATTAATGGCGCTTCCTCATTTTATGTATAATGCATAGTATTCAAACATCGTTTTTATAAATTGATAAATTATTTTATCCATCTTCCGTTAAGACATTTATTTTTAACTTATTCATTCGAATCCTTTGATTGTTTATTGTTCTAAGCTATTGAATAAACAAATCCATAAAAATATGACATAATTAATTATTTCATGGAGCGTATAATCAAACAAAAACCTACTTAATAAATTTATAGTAGATGTCATCAAGGTCGAGGAAGTGACGGTGACAATAATTGCTATGTAATAACTTCACTGGAGTACCACAATAGGAATTTCCAATACATCATATTGGACAATAATTCTAAGTACTCGGGACCGAATTGATACTCCAAGCTACATTTATATTTACCATTGTAGTTCGACATTAATTAAGAATATCATGAAAAGCTATATGGGATTTATTTTTATTCCATTCAGCATCCGCATATCATTAATATTTCTATGGTGAATGTCTTATGTTAAAGTGTAGGCATACTTAAACAATTATATCATTGTTATCGTGTATATTGCCAATATTCGATCTATAATTTTGTATGAGTATCGTGTAACAGACGAATATGTTCATGAGCTAATAATTAATTGTAAGTTTTAGCACATAAACACCTCCTAGGTCTAAAACATATACGCGTTCATTATTAGCTTAAAACATCGTGCTGTGAAATTGCCACGACAATTACGCATGTCAAAAAAATTAAAAATCACAGTAGTCTAAAACTATAATTTATTTAAGCACTATGTTTTATTAGTTTCAGAACGGTTAAATAATGTGTGCTTAGCGAATCATTTATATTTTCTGAAATCTAAAAGACATTATGTCTTTAATGATAAATATTTAATCTTATACTGAATAATATTTTTAATAACAACAGTCAAAGTTATCATAACTATGTAACCTTTATTTTTTTATAGTAGATATTATTAAATTGTTATTTGAAATCTATAATACATATATATATTGCTACAAAAAATTTTTATAAGATGATAAATAAAAAATCTCAGGATTTAGAAAACTAGAATCGAAAATAAATTCAAAATAAAATAATTAAATATTCATTTTTTTTTTTTTTGAATCATTGTCTTAAATTCAAGATTTCGAGTTAAAGATGAAGCAGTATCACTTAGGTATATCATATATTTTAAAAGTTTACATTTAATACAGATTTAATTTTAAATTCTATAGATTCCTATGTAGAATTTTAATAAGTTTTAAGTGTATTAAGTTTAGAAAAACAAATTTATGGTAAAACAAATATTTATCAACAGACATAAATTATCAACGAACCTTTATTTTAATAAATACATGAAGTAATTTCTTATATTTTTTTAAAATTAGAATAGACAATCAAACGATAAAAAATACTCAAGTCATGTAACTTCTTAAATACATACATAAATTCTAGTTTAATTGTATGAAGGGTGAATGACACACTAAGGTCATCAACATTTAGGATAATTAAATTTTTTATAGTGTTGCACCCGTAAATCAAAATTTAAATGTCATCGTTTTACGTACAACCTATTCAAGTACTCCTAACTTTCGTGACTCTTTTTAGAGTTGACAACAAAAACGATGAGCATTTAAAACAAAAAAATGTATTTATCTTATTACAAAAATTATATATTTTCTAAATCTACTAATAAGGAAAATGTTAAATAAATTATTTTCTGAATAAACTTTTTTCTTAATTTCTATAAAAAAAATTCAGACCTCTTGTTAACTCTAAGATTGAAATTAAATTTTAACAGCAATTGAAAAGTAGGGAAGGATAGGATAAGTTAGAATACCCTTGAGTTTTAAATTTCTTTAAGAAAGTATTCACTATAAACTTGAAATTTGGTAGTAATATTGCTTAATGTATTTCTTATAAATGTAATCTATGTATAACCATTCGAAAAAAAACTCGTTAATTACTATTGTTTATTTTAAGAATTATTAATAAATAAAAAAAAAGTTGAAATCTTACCCACGCCGGGGGCAGAAATATTGTTTTTTATTGACATACTTTAGCTTAATATAGATATTTCGTAAAAAATATATTATCGATCTTATAAATTTTAAATGTATTATATAATTTTTAATTAGTCTAGCGAGTAATAAAAAAATTAGAGAGTAAAAATATTGAAAAAAAAACACTACTTGACGATCGCCTGAGGTATGCTCCCTGGATAACAAGTAGATTTATTTTTTACAGTAACTTCACAAGTTTAACTAACTATAAGAAAAATGTTTTTAAAAAGGAGTTTCGTATACAAATAATGACATAAAACAACTTTCCCCATTCCATTTTTATTAAAAAAATTACCCTATTTTTTCCTAATTTAAATACCTCCAAAATAATTTGAAAAACTTAAAATTTTAAATACTTTTTATTCATTATGTTTTTCTATAGCTATTGCTATAAAAAAATATACTTATTTAAACTCAAGTTAAAATGATAAGAATATTATATATATATTTCAAAATAATATTACATTATTCTTGCAAAAATTTTAAAATGCCATTTAAAACAAATAAATTGTTCGATTAAATTTTTTTGAAAAATGTGTCAATATATTTAAATATATTTGGTTAATATATTTAAAAATATATCCATACATATTTCGAAAAACATTACTATAATTTTTTAAGTCCAAGAGATTTATTGACCTGCTGTTTCCTACTACATTATTCTAAAAGTATAATAATTTTAATTTCAAAAAAAAATATATTTTGCTGTAAAATATCAGCTTAATACTTTGATTTAATAAATTTCAATAGTCATTTAAATAAAAATAATATTTAAAATTTTTAATTATTTTTTAAATGTCCAATTCCATTGTTTTTTTCAAAACAGTAAATATCTCAAACACTAGACGCCATTGAAAAAATCTGAAAACAGGATTGAAATTAACGCAACATAATAGTTTAAAGTCATATATAGTTTCATTTATGTTACAAATTACATGTCAATTAATATAATTAGTCAATAAAAATAAATATGCTAAATATTTCTATCAAATGAATATAAAACTATTAATAAAAAAAAATATATGTACAATTGACAAAAATAAAAAAGTTATATACATTAATAATAATATGCTACTAAATAAATTTACAGATATAAATCATTTTTCCCTAAAAAGTTTTCATAACGTATACTAACACACATTATATGTTATACTACATTTTATTTTACGTAGATTAGCATACTTAAAAAGATAGTTATTGAAAAAAAAATGCTTTTATTTAATTGATATGTGCTCAATTTTTATTCAGATAACAACATGGTACCAAGGATAGAAGGGACTACCTAATAAGATAAAAAAATGTCTGATATTAAAATTAAATCCTTTAATACCTCCACCATATGTTTAAGCTGTTTGTTTTATTTAAGTTTACTTTCGTGAAGAACTAGTTATAAATGTACTTGAAAATTGGTGTACTCATCAAAATTGTTATCTTACTTTTTTATTTTTACAAAATATATCATACTTCACTAAACTAATCTTATATATTATTTATATAACTCCATAAACATTTCTTTCCAGAAATACGCACGCTTTTCAAAATTGTCCCAACATTAAATGTTTATTTTTTTGAAAATAATTATTTATTATGATTATAATTTTCATGAAAAATTATTATCATCTTACAATTAATAATTCGAAATTGAAACGCTCTTATGACTTAAAAAGGTCAAATTCAAGCAACATTAAGCACCGTTAATTTTTATAAAACATCATTTTAATACTATCCAAGATTTAACTTTATATAAGGATAATTCACCAACCAACGTATACTGATTATTTTATTTTTTTAATAGTTTCGTTGATTCATCTCTGAAAGATAAATTTATTTTGACTTAAAGTAAATTATTCTTTAATTAAATTAACTATTAGTCAAATTTTTGTAAGACTTTTAAAAAATCAAAACATTGTTTTTGAAACTTTTATAGGATTTTNAATATTTGACTCAAATTACCCTCTTGGTAATTATTTAGGTGGAACCTTTTGCTTTTAGTTAAAATAAAAACATTATTATTATTTTTTAATTGTATTCTTAGTATTTGAAATACTTTTGTAAAGTAATTGAGTATTACTCAAATACTTTTGTATGAAAAGTATTCAAATAGTATTTTAAATACATTTTTTTTTAAATATTTGAATATTATTTAAAATACTTTTTAAAAGTATTTTTTACAACTATGCTTACTGTGATATTTCGCCTTATTATATTATAACTGGTGGATAAATAAGACTAAAATTGAAGCCAACTTAAGCTCGGCTATAATATATCATTAATTAGTTGCCATGCTTTTAAAAAGATATATTTGTTTATTGTGAAGAGAACGCAACTAGCAATTTAATTGTCGTTTAGTTAATTTATAAATGTTAGGGTTTTATTTTATTGAAATAACGAGCTAAATAAGACCGGACAATTAGCTTACAAATATTATTCGCGGAGAAACTCAAAATACTGTAAATGAAGAAGTACAGTCGTAATTGCTAGAAATACAAAACTTACCGAGTACAATAAATAAACTTCAAAATAGTAGTTTTTAGTAGACTATGGATACGAAGAATTTAAAATGATTTTTTTATAGTTCCTTTTCATTATAAAACTAGTAAATGAACTTACTATATGTCTCTAGACTTAAGACTTTGATGAAATATACATTTTTTGTAATGTAAAAGACAGAGCATGGGATAATCTTAAGCGAAGTAACATTTAATTGGGATATAATATCTTTAAATATTTTATCTACCGTATACTATTCATAGTTTTAGTATGGTACAAATATACCCATATAAATTATTTATTGTTCAACAATTCGAAAAAGAGAAGAAACCAAGTAATGACGTATATTTAATAACTTATGATCGAACGAATATTTTGCGATACTTTATTTTTGTTTAACCATTTTTACAGTTTTGACAGTTTTTTAAAACTATCAAATAACTATTCGAATTCTTTTTTTACAACCAATTGAAAAAACAAATTGTTTTTTAGCATAAAATATTCCAATAGACTACCAAATGGTTTTAAAAAATATTCGACTCGTTCTACCTAAAATTTTCATTAAGTACACTTGATTATAATAAAAAGATAATTAACGAATACTTAAAATAAATTATACATTAAATGTTAAATTGTATAAATTTTTGTACACTTAAAAATAGTAAAAATTAGTGATGGGAATTTTCAAATATTTTAAACTATCAAATAACTATTCGAATTGTGTTTATACAACCGAATATTCGCATAGTTACTATTCAATATTTCCTATCACTAATATATATATATATATACTCCAGTAATATCTGCACCCACAGTAGTTAGATACCAACTCTGTGTATTATAATGTTTGTAATTCAACAAGTTTTTATGGACTAATAACATTTTGTAAGAAAAGAACTAATTATGGCTATTTTAACATTTTGATGAATTAGATTATAAAATATTTTAATATGTGAGAATGATAATGAGTATACCATTTGTTCCACATAATGATATAATAGAAATATTTGATTACTTACTGGATATTATTCACGAATATGTTATAGATTTTGCAATAAATACACGAGGTAGGCGAAGAAGAAGTACTGCTCTACAGTAAATATTCTCAATTAATTCTTGGAATGTTTATGAATCTGTCATTGCTAATTTATTAATAGCCAATAATATTGAATATTATTCATATAAAGTATCAATTCGTGACATCGTGTGTATTTATGTAAATTCCTCAAACATATTAAAAAAACAAAAATTTAAATTTACTTCTCATTACACAAACACCAGTCAATCATTGAAGAGTTCGGTATCTCATTAAATAGCTATGCAATAACATATGAGCAAATAAAAAAAATGGTTTTAAATAATTACATTTAAAAGAAAAAATTCATTTAGATGTTTATCTAAGAAGGANGAGTGGCCGTTATAGACATAGTTTTCAATACTATTACTTTTTTTTTATTGTCATCATAGCCAACCAACTCCGTGTCACATAAATATACCTACTAACCAACTGTACTAGGATTCAGGACAGATGTATTGTACATTACATATAACTTATATTTATTGAAAATCTAAAATATAACTTTACTTTGTCGTTGATATAAAACAATAGTCTAACTTAATTATTTTACTTTTATTTTATTTTATAATTTCACGGGCAGAAGCCCTTTTTACAAATAATACAAGTACATAAATTAGGTTATTGTAACATAGAAAGATATATACTAAAAATATGCAAATTAATTATTAAACGTAAAGATAAAAAAACAAAATAAAAAATGAAAATGAATTTAATTATAAAACATAAAGAAAAATACAAAAATTAAAATGAAAAGTTAGGATCAACATTGGCATTAGTCATTAGACGCCTAAGTGGCTCATTTTTTGCATAATTAGTTAGGCAGTGAGGGACAACAAATGGAGCATTATTTCTTGTTGCGCGCTGAGGTACTCTGAAACATATGAGAGACAACAAGCTCGGCGAATCAATATTACCATTCAATAAACCAATTAGGAAATTAATTCCAGCATTGCGCCTACGCTCAGCTAATGAGGATAGGCCAAGCAAATACGAGACAGGGGCATAATCGTGGTTTGGACAGACTATGTTGAGCGAGTAGCTGACAAAGCGTAGGAACTCGCTCAAGCTGTAGCGAGCCCAAGGCAGTAAAAGGATCCCACACCACACTACCATATTCTAGAATAGGTCTGACTATAGAACAGAATAGCACTTTAAGTGAAAGTCCTTGCTTGAAATCTTTGGCCAAACGCATAATAAAACCTAACGCTTTAAAAGCTTTACAGCAAACATAATCAATATGAAGCATAGGATCAAGATTATAACTAAACTTAAAGCCTAGATCTGTAATAGAGTTTAACTCACGCGAGATATTTACTGCAATAATACTATAGTGAAACACAATAGGATGTTTTGTTCTATGATACGTAAAGACCTTGCATTTGGTTAAATTAAGTGACAATCCCATTGAATTTGACCATTTAGAAAATCTATTAAGCTGATTTTATTATTATTATTAGCTGATAAATCAAGAATTTATGTAACTAAAAGAATTTAAAAATAATTTTTCGATTAATTTATTTATTTTGTGATTAATCGAGTGGTTTATGAGAAACCGATTACCTCGTATAAGAGAATATGTTTCGGTTTACCACTGATAATGGTAATATACTAAATAAAATTTAACATAAGCTGAGATGCAGATTAAATATTAAGATACAATGTATCTAGATAATTGAAAAAACAGTACAGTTCTATGTTTTTATTCTTCAAAACATGTATGCAGGTTTGATCGTAATATAAAATATCTCCACGACGTGATTAAAAAGCAATGTGTTTTAACAACGCTGATCAACATTTCAGAAATTTAACTATCGAAAATTTAACAAATGAGTTGAATGGTTGTTATGACTGGATATAAGATTATCAAATATAACAATAATTTATTAAAATGATCGTGTTAAACACAATGACGTGTCTCCCACCCTTACGCACTTCAAACGTGCGCGTGTAGATACATAATGTAAGGCAGGTTTTTGCTATTTCGTTATCTTTACATGGTTCAATTCATTAGAGTCTCGTCTTAGATAACTGTTCGTAATTGGACACAATCCACGACATAACACACGAGGTAATAGAAAAGTACATAGCTAGACAACAAAACTTTTATCACAGAATTCGGTTTTTTACTTGTATTTTTTTTATTTTTATATTATATTTCTATTTATTTTTTTAACTTTTCGTATTCGGAAGTGTGTTAAGTTTTATTTATCTATGCAGAAACTCGTATTGAAATCGCATCAAGCACCATTAACGTGATGGGTAACAAACAGATTATATTTAATAAAAATAACTAATTTAATTTGATTTTAGAATTATATTTTTTGATAGTAGCAAAATTTCAAAATAATTTATTTTTTTAAATAAATTTAAAATTTACTAGAAATTTTATTAAGCATAATAGTAATATAATAATTAAAATTTATCTGCATTGTTTCTGAATGAGCTTCTCATAAAAAATATTAAATTAAATAATACATTAATTCAGCTATAAATAATCATAATAAAATACATTTTTACAAGAATACTATCTGGATCAAACGTCCCAAGGTACTATGATTTGAGGGTTATCGAATCAATTTAACATACGAAGAACTTATACATCAATCGATAAAAAAATGTAATTTAATGATCCATAAAATGTTGACACACATGCCAGTTTTTATTCAACATGTTCAACTAAAATCTACCAAAAATAATCATTTTTTACATGCAATAATTTTATTTTAATATATATTTTCAATTTAGCGATAGAGCAAAAAACTCATCTGAAATTTAATTTAAAATGTTATTCTTGGATATTAAATACTTTAATCATACGTTTAGCAAAGGATTTTTTTGAAATTTAATTATTAATATATTTATTTAAATTCAAGAATTTAGAAAAATCCATTTTTTATTTTATTTTATTCGCAAAGGTGGTTACACAAATTAAATTAAAATTGGGTGACAAATAATTATTGATTAATATAGATACTTGAAAATAAAGATATCTGAATAATGTTGACTAAATAGTTTTTTTATTTCCTATGAAAGCTGATAAAAAGAGATTTAGGTGAAATATTACTATCTATTATGACCTATATTTTCAATATATTATCATCGATATTTTTTATCGTTAAATACATCTTTGAATCATATTCATTAACATAAACGTTCAGTGTTGGCGTAAGAGCAGCGCGTGTGGGATACATGCCCCCGAAAAATTTCTGACTTCTGCAAAAGAATAGAAAATATATCTTCAGCATAAAATCATTTTTACGAAAAGGGTCTATCCCATTTCAACCCCCTCAATTCTGTCACAGACGATCCAAAATTAAGATTTGTCACGGATCCTGTAAAAATCATTATCCTATTTACTTGTTAGCTATATAAATAGGTTGTAATGCAAAACTTAACAAGACATAATTATTGAATTCTAATATTTAGACTTCAACAATAATATAAGTAATAATTATTATTATTTATATTATTGTTTATAAGACAATAAAATAATAGATATTGACACTCAAAGAAATAATTTCCTATCTTATCTAAATAAATAAAGTAATGAATTTATTACTGTGTAACATTATAAAAAAAATATTCACAACAGAAATTATTTTAAATAATGGGATACAGAACGCAGAGATAGAACTTATTCTACTCTTTGTAGAAAGCTAGTACATAATTTGATATCACAAAAAATTATCAAATGTCATTTCTCTTGAGTATTATAATAATTATAATACTCAAAAAAAAAATAATTATTATATAGTCAATTTTTATATTATTTTTGTCCGTTACTAAATATAATTTTTGAAGTATGATTTTGTATTTAATATTACATTAATGAACAATTCATATAAGTTCGTATACAAGTTAAAAAGGCGCCTCTTTACTAAATCCACAAAAATTTTATTTTATTTTACAAATTAGCTTATTGACAACAGTTTCAATACACATTTAGAAATTATTTCATTTATAATCAATAGTTTCCATGACTCATTCATTAAAACTTTTTATCAAATAACATAAGTTTGATTAAATGATTACAGTTTAAGTGTATGGATATGTACGTATAATTACATAAAATTGATATACATAAGTTATTTAAAAATATAAACACTTATATAAATTTACTAATGGTTAAAAAATACTAATTAATCCATCCAAAAAATGTATTCGACACTTATAACGCAAATAGAAGTGGTGCGTTCTTTTTATAATTTGTCTAATGTTGTTCAATAATTTACAAGGTTATGATGAATAAAAATTACATAAATATATGGAATGGCCTGACTTTTCACATATTATTCGCTCATTTGACGAAATAGTCAAAAAAGCGATGAAATTTAAATTATAATAAAGATAATTTTTTGGGGGAAATACCACAGCTTCTATATAAAGTGAACTATTTATTTTTACCCACTCATTAATCGAAAATTAATTACTAATTACAATTTAGCATCATCCTATATAACTTAAATGAATGATAATTCATTTTTTTAATGACAACATACATATTTAATTAACCTCTAAAATAGAAAATTATGAGTCGACAACAACTTTGTTAGAACTTTAAAAGTTATGACAGATGACAGAAATTTTAGACAGATTCGGCCGCATTCATCATTACTCCCACGTATAAAAATGTTATGAATTAATCACATTCGATGTATTGGTCTAAAAGTTGTTATTGATCCGTCACTTTCTATTAATTAGATCATTTTCTATTTTATAGGTTAATTAAAATATATATGTTCCCAGTTAAAAAAATTTAATCGACGTCCTTATAAATTAAAAGAAGTGAAATTAAAAAGTAATCAATAGTTTATTAATCAAAAAATTTAACTATTTAAAAAAAAAACAAATTTTTTGGTTAATTAAACCTGTAAATAGTATTCTTTTCCATATTGAAATTAAAATCTATATGAATATTCAAATCTAGTAGATATTTGATAATTGTTATAATATAGTAAATAAAAAACCTAATAAATAAATGAAATAGATATTGTTAAATATTCTGTGTACCTCTAATATTTGGTTCAGAATACTAAATAACATCAACTAAAAATATATTTTATTTGTGTGTCGAAAAATAATATTCGATTTTCCAAATTTACTGATTCGGCATATCACTAATTAATGTCGTAATTCATGGACAATTTGTGATATATTGTTTACAATTTATTCGAGTGCCAACGATCCGATTTAATGAACTCCTACTCAGAGATAGAGGTAATGGGGGTAGATGCCCTAAATCGTCAAAAAGTATGAATACATTTTAATAATAAGATGAATTTGGTTAAACATTTTTTCTATCGATTGATATCGGAAGTTGATTTACACGGTCTAGAAGGTCTAAACCTTTCTTAGACATTGATAATTTTACATTATATAATATGTAGGATATATATATGTATGTACAGTACACATTTTATGTCTAAAATTAAAATAGATATCGCGTGAATGTAATTGTTATTACTTTTATACGATAATCAATAAATAAAATTATTTTATTACTATTCAATAAAACGTATGTTATAACATAAATACATTACTTAATTAAATAACCAAATTGTTTAATTATTTGTTATATGTATTTTGTTTATAGGTTTGGACTTTTTAGAAAATGGTTCAATTTTTGAGCATGCTATTACATGCGCAGGTATGTATAATACAATAATAATTAAAAACAATGATATTAATGAAAAATGACTTGTATTCATATTTCTTTTCTTTAATAGAATTCGGTAAATTTCACTATTATTTGCTGGTACTTAGTGGTTTAATTTATGCAAATTGCGCTATATCTATCACAATCATCTCATTTGTTTTACCATCGGCACAATGCGATTTCGATTTGAGTTCTTCAGATAAAGGCCTTTTAAATGCCGTTCCCCTTTTAGGTATAATAAATAATCACAATGAATTATTAATTATAAATGAAATAAAATTCTATTTATTATTATTTTGTTAGGCATGTTCTTAGGATCTTATTTTTGGGGATGTTTAGCTGAAATGCATGGAAGAAAAAATGCGTTGATTGGAGCGTTACTCTTAGATGGTATTTTTAGTTTAATATCCAGTTTTCTAACGTTCTTTTGGCCTTTTTTGTTTTGTCGTTTCTTTAGTGGTTTTGGGTAAGTCAATTTACAGTTGATTTCAAATTTCTGATTAAATAAAATTCTCGACTTAAGACTATCGCAAAGTTTTATTTGAATGGAAAACAGTTATTTTTTATCAATCAATCAATTTTGTGATTTTAATATTTTTTTGCTTTCTAGGGTTGCTGGTTACTTGGGAATATTGTTTTCATACTTGGGAGAATTTCAACCAAAAATTTATAGGGAAAAAGTATTGTCATGGTTGGAGACATTTTGGACTTTGGGCGCTATTGCATTACCATGTATTAGATTTAACTTCTTACTTTTAGTTTTTATTTGAGTTACGTNATTTAAATTCTTACTTTTAGTTTTTATTTTAGTTACATTAAAGATTATTTTATTTTTCAGTGATCGCTTGGGGTATCATACCACTAACAATAGAATATAGATATGATATTTTTAAGTATTCCTCATGGAACGTTTTTTTAACATTATGTTCTTTACCCAGCATCTTTTTGGCATTGTGGTTAACTCAATTTCCAGAAAGTCCAAAGTTCTTACTAGAGTGTGGTGAATATGAAGAAGCACTAAAGTGTCTTAAACAGATATATATGGAAAATACGGGTGAACCCGGTGACTCTTATCCAGTATGAAATAATAATTATTATATGTATAATAAGTAACAATAGTTATACAAACACAAGTCAAAATTGAAGGGGGATAATCCCTCTTCCAGTTTAAATATCGCCCTTCCAAAATCTGTGGAACGTATTAAGCAATTACAAGAAATAATATTTATTGATATAAACAAATATATTTTATTATGGGAAAAAAAAGTATTATTTTTTAAATCAACAAAAATTATTCAAACCAATTCAAAATTTATCTTAAGATAATCAATTATATCTAAAAATTATTTGTTATGTGTCAGGTACGAAGTCTCATCGAGAACGAAGTACGTTGCAGTATAGTCAGTATACAGTCAAAACGATCACTAAGAAGTATGAAAACTGTCAAGACCCCAAAAGACTTAAGAAACTTACTAAAAGAGATTTGGTACCAAACTAAGGAAATGTTTAAGCCACCACATTTAAAAAACACTGTCCTTACTTGTTTAATACAATTAGGATTATCGTCTACGTAAGTATTAATACATCATATTATTCATTAGTGTAATTCAAATTTGTAATTTTATCATGATCTTAATAGTTAACATTACCGCAGATACTACACAATGATGTTATGGTTTCCGGAGTTGTTTAATAGATTTGAACATTTTGAACATGAACAACCTGGCAAAGACACATCAGTTTGTCAAGTATCATCGGTATACATTAAAACCAATGGGAACCTCAACTTAAATGACTCGTGTGGATCAAGTATTGGCCATTCTGTGTATTTGCATACTTTATGGATCGGTATAGCTTGTATCCCTACATCTCTTTGGATGCCTTTGTGTGTACATAGATTAGGCGCTAAATTTTTTTTAGGTATGCATAACTAAATGTAACTAAAAATTACATGATTATTATAAATAAAATCTCTGTTTCGTATCGAAGTAAAATACAAATTTTAAATGAATTTATTTATTTTTATTATTATTATTTTTTAATTAGAAAACAAACACAATAAAAATAATAAGTAAAAAAAACAAAATTAACCATACTGAAATTTAATTAATAAAAATATTATTGATTAATGAATGAATTAAAACTTTTAAAATTGTACATAATATTTGTAGCTATAGACGCACATAGGAAGTGCTAGGTAGTGTTTAACACTTATTAAGATAGTTTAGATCTTAACATTAGTAATGTTAAGATTTTTGTATTATTTTACATAGGAGGGAGCAGGGTGAGGACGAGAAATGTATAATAATATAAATAGTCATATCTGCGACTCTCCCCATCACACTGGAAAGAGGCGTTAAAATATACAATATAGAATACATGTTAACTTCCAAATTACTAGTTTAAAATTTATTACCGAAAAATAATTTATAGTACTCCTAATTTTCGATTGAACGTGTGCCCATCTCTGTGTCTCGTATCCAAAAATCAACAAATCAATAAATTATGATTTTGGAATTATTTATATGTATAATACTAAGATTTATCTGTTATTTACCAAAAATGGTATACATTTATATTTTTTATTAAATTAAACACACATAAATAATTATATGTAATTTTATAAATATATATATTATATTAATTTATAAAATTTAATTATTAAAATATATGTTTATAAGGTATATTCAAAAATTGCTTTATAATATTTATATAATAAAAAGAAATTTATATAAAATTTAGGGTGTTTTTTTTCACGAAGTTTTTTCGCCCCCAATTAAAAATATCATTGGAAATAACAAAAAAAAATCCCTGAAAATTTGAGCTTTTAATTTTAATATTATGTACTTTCCCAGAGTAGGTAAAGAATTCCCATTTAAAATACATGTAAACTTAGATTTTTATTTGTTAAACTACTATAATTCAACGGCATTTTGTGCTATGCACATCGCTCAAAGTCAACATTTTCTCAGGGTTAGACACTATAAAAGTGACCAATACAATGTAACCACAACTCATACTGACGGGTCACTGAATCTGATATTTGCAGCACTATTTCATAAATTATTAGATTTATCAAATAAATATATGATAACAAAGTTGTAAGAAATTTAATTTCCTATAAAAAGGTCCTTAATATACAAGATAGCTAAATTTAATACTTCTCAAGATATTGTATTTCAATTTTTTGTGTATTATTGCATTCAATTATAAAACTTAAGTTTTGTTGCGGTCACATTTGCATTAGAGCGCAAAAAAAATAGTATTGAAATAAAGCACCGAAATAAAAATAAATATTTTTTGTAAAATATTATTTATGTATTGTAAGTAATGTTAATTAAATAAGTACTCATCTTATACTTTCATTTCAGTAATAAGTCTTTTTGTATCCGGTGTTGTAATAGCTGCATTGAACTTCGTCAGAAATTCTTTACAAAATCTTATATTATCATGTTTATTTGAAGCATTTACAAGCTTGGGTATCAGTGTACTTATGTGCATTATGGTGGAACTATTCCCAACTAACATGAGGTTAGTATAACGCTAAATAAAAACCTAAATCAATTATAAATATTTGTTGCATAAAAAAGTTAACCGATTTTGCCTGATGTGTTTCGATTTTAAATAATTTATTAATTTTGATCCATATCTTAAATACGGCATTAATCTTAAAATAATCAAGTGATGACAAGTATCAATTCAATTTAAATTAATTAAAATTTCGTTGAGATTTCAAATAATTAAGTCATTAAAATAATTTTTTATTTTATAGAATCATGGCAGCAGCTGCATCTGCTACGTTTGGTCGTTTAGGGTCATTGTTGGCTAATATACTATTTGGATTGCTCATCGATTCACACTGCATATTAATTATTATTATTTTCAGTTCGTTTTTGATAAGTAAGAATAATATTAATTATGAATATTTAATGGTTTGCAAACATAACGTTTTTTATTATTATCTAATTTTTTGTAATATAAAAAAAAGTATTTAACAACACAAATCATAATATTAAGCTAGGTTAAATTATCATTTTAATAATAATGTCCAGGCGCAGACTAGCAGCGTAAGTAATTATCCGCTTTTGCTCTTAGTGTATGCTTAGTAATGTTCTTGATAAATAAACAAGTAAATAAAAAGCTTATTGAAAAATATTGGACGTTGTTAATATAATAAGGGAAAAAATTAGACGTTTCTTTATAATATATTCATCATATTACCTAATTATCTCATTATTGATGTTTAATAATTTTGTGAACACTGTATTTCTTACAAAAATCATGAGACATTAATTGTTATTACTTAATAACTATAAGTAGTTAATATAATTAATAATGACTAACAATTTTTTATTTCAGTAAGTGGTATGTTATCATTGGCTCTTCCCAACACCAAACATAAAGATTTAGATTAAATATTTCAGTTAAAACCTGTAAATTAAGTATTGTCTATTCTTCTAAATAAGCTATATATTATTACATTACAAAATTTGGAGTACCACTATGTATTAATTTGGATAGTAAATTATTTAAATATTTTCATAGTTTATTAATAATAAATTATAAACTTAACAATGTGATAAAAAAAACTTTATGAATCAATGTATTATTGTTTAAGTTTTGAACTTGAGCAAATTGTGACAATTTTTTATATTGTAAATAAAACTGGCAACAGCCATTAAATATCGTTATTGAAGCTATTGTATACTATTATATTAAATTTTAGAATTTTTTCTCCTAGTATCTAACATTCACAATTGTTTTCTTCATATTTAAGTTTTTTAATCACTATATAAAACATTTAAAGTAAAACAAAATTTGTACAACTATTATTTTCCACTTTATTTATAACCTATAAAAGACTAGTAAAAAATAAAAATTGATTAACTTCATTTTTAATTAAAACTAAATATTTAAAGGAATTAATATGTTATACATCAATGAAATTTGATTACTGAATTAAATATATCCATAATAAAAATTAACATTTGTTTTATTTAAATAATAGACATTTTTAATAAAATTTTATCATCAAATAATCATTATTAATACATATACAATAATAACAAAAAGACATTTTTAATTCTCATTCTTAAAGATTAAAATAAATATACAAAACCAAATAAAATACTATAAATATATTATATTTAGTTTAATTTATTAGTTATAAATAACTAAAATTAAAAAAACTTATAATTAAAAATTATATTCAAAGCCCAATGTCATAGTCCATAAAATTGGGGAACTATTGGTAACCATAATAATTGAGTCTCCATTATTAGTATTGCTGCTACTAATTAATCCTCCCATTTCCATTTTACCATCTATAAATTGTGAAAACAAATATTTTCTTAAGTTTATAGATAAAATAATAAACCATAATATTTTAAAAATTTTAAGCTTAAAAGTTTATTTTGATAATATTTTATTAAATTATTATCATTGTAACCAACATACACTTTCAACAGTACCTATACCATCCAATTTAGAAATTGTCTTAGGATTGTACTTATATTGTTTATAATACAGTATTATTAACATTTCAAGTATATGTGTATACTTATTAGGTATAAAAATGATAAGAATGGCAATAAGTCCCAAATAAATTTTTATTGAATCGGTTGACGTTGCTACATTATTTTTTTATTTAAAGATTATTTTTTATAAAAATGTTTTGAACACTTTGTTAATTTTTATAAACTATAATAAATATCAAGTTTGTTATTGAACATATTTTTTTTAATGAAAATACTTTATAGAGAATTTATAATTAATTTTATACAATTAGAAAAGGAATTTTAAAAAAATAAATTTGACAGGTTGATTACCAATTCTGAAATACAAATGTTTGTGTTTATATAACTTTTAAATAAAGATGAAAGGGTTTTTAACATAGTAGTAGTGCTATTTTTGGGTTACTTTAAAAGTAGAGTCTGGCTCTACACTGTTCCTTATTCAAGCTAATTTTTTAAACAAAAATAACTATAAAATTTATATTCTAAAACTAGATATCAACCTGTCAATTTTTTTTTTTTTAGTTCATTAAACATCTCGTATAAAAATAATTATAGGTTTACATTTCTTTATCCAAAAATAAAAGATAACACAATTGGAAAAAAAAAATTTGTTTAATATATAAAAAATTAAATATTTATCTTTTAATCCTTCAAAATAAGTAGTTGCACTACTTCTATGATATCTAATTTGAAAGAGAACCTTTTCATTCTCTGGTGAATATTTAATTATATAAATCACACCTAAAACTACCTTAATAGATAGTTTTTTTTTTTTATAATTTACTTTATCATGGTTCTTAAAAATAAACATGACTTTATTAAGTACATTTTAATAAAAATTAATATATAACAAAAAAAATTGAAGTTAGTATTTTAAAAAAGTCTTACTATATAAATACTAATATATTAATTAAAGAGTATCTAAATTATTGTTATTATTACTTATATTCCATTTTAGTCCATTAGTAGTGCAATGATTACACGCTGATCCTAAGGGGAAGATACCAATGTAATTTTTCTCTGGAAACATTCTAAGTGTTGGAGGAATGTGTATTCTATGATTTCCTTTTAATAATAACCAAGTCAATGTATTTCTTCCCAACAAGAATACATCAATATTTGAAAACTGATCTTTCAGTTTATATAAAGTGTTTATATTTGACAAAAAGTGATCGATTCTTATGTCCATATTAACCATTACAATTACAGTGTTAATATTTGTATTATTATCTAAAAATAATCAATGATTTACTATAGTATTAAATATTCTTTCATTCACTAATTCAAAATTTATTATTACCAGTTGTATATTTTTTAATTTCTTTGAGTGCTTTTGTAAAATCAGTTTCATTTTGATTAGGAGTATGAATTGTTTTAGAACCTAATTTCACAAATTTATCCAAAACATTTGGAATAATAGAATCAAAATCACCAGTGATTAAATCAGGAATTTTATATTCTAAATGATTATCTATAGCAAATTGATGCCATCTATTTGTACCACCGTCAACAGTAACTCGTAGCTTACCTATATATTGATAAAAAGTAAGTATAGTTTACAGAACAGAATACATGAAATTAACTTACATTTATTCCAAAGATGTTGAACTATAGATGGAGGATTAGTAATTTTTGTATTCAATACAACTACAGCTGCATTATCTAAACAAATTGATTCTAAATTAGTCTGCCAAGTATACAATTTTAATTCATCTCGCATTCCTACATTCCAAATTTTCTAAAATCCATTAAACAAAAAATCAAAATATATATATATATTTTATTTTTTTCACTTTTTGGCATCCTACCTGACTCAAATTAAATTTGGTCAAATAATTTAACCAAAGTCCGTTTAACATTTAGATGTTTACGAATAACTTTACTTTCAAATATGATCGTAATAAAAATTCAAAATAGACAATTTTGACAAAACGGTTTCAACTGAAGTAATCATGTAAACATTTTTATTCATTTGAAATTTTCTTAATAATGAAAACAAAAATAATTTTAATAGAAATAAGTTTAACCATTATGAGCATAATTCCTTTGACCTTTTACGTTAGCCAATATTAAAAAATTTTAAATAGCGGTAAATGTGGAAAATATGATATTGACCATGTGACTGAAAATATTTAATCATAATGATTACAATCAAAAATAAGATAATAATTGTAAACTTATGTTATATAAATATATAAACCTATGATAGTCTTCATATAATTAATTAGTTTAAAAAAATTACATTTAACCACAACATTATTATTTTGTGATGTTTCACAAAATAATGATAATAATGACAAAATAAAATATTGATAAGACATATCACAACAATTAAAGATTGACCCAATTCCAATTTGTACGATTGGGTTAAAGAATGATTTAATCTAGGTGGATTTATCTACCTTGTGTATAGTTTTTTAAATGCTGATAAATAACAATAGATTTTTTTTTATTGTTATTATTTATTAAATTAATTGGTGAATTAACTTATTAAGTATGACTAAACACATCTGACTGAAGAGAGATTCACACTCTACATATACTCATGAAAACTATAATTTTTTAGTTACCATAGTAATCTAGTTGTTTTAACTGTCCTTTGAAAAATTTAGTGTTTTTCTACGGTTAGTGATAATTTTGCTGCATTGGGCATAAAAATAAAACAATGTTTTAAATTATCTACAGTTGAAATATACATTTTTTTTATATGACTAATATTAGGTAATTACTTAATATTTACTAAATAATGTTAAATTAGTTCATTTTATTTAATTTAATTGACAAGAATATTTTGATTAAATTTTATTATACACATTATGTATAATAAGTATCATTATATTTATAGATTAATGAGGCTCTTCATTGTATTTTAACATATTTCATTTTTTTCCTGTTAGTTATTAACATTTACAATATATAATGTATGTATTAAATATTTAAAGTTGTATTTAAAATCTGTAAGATATGAATCAAGTGTTACAAAATATATATTTTATTAATATAAATAATATAAGTTTAGTAATTGCATATGTAATAATTTTATCATAATAATGATAATCCTTTGTGTCTATTAGTCTGGTTATTGAATCGTATATGTATCGTGAAAATCTGTCCGGGTCGGGGTAAACTTCCATCCGTAAGATACCTGTAGAGACGAGCTTCTGAAATGCAAATCATTATTCTACAAAAGCCCGGATCTACAGGGTAGATCACGGATGCGTTTCACTGATGTAGTGAAGTTGACCACTTGAAAAATTGAGTGTTTTGTGATCGCTGAAAAATAATAAACGAAAACCTCAACAAATTATCGATATTTTATAAATAACAACAAAAACAATTGCTGCATAAGCATTCATACTATAGCGTATAATTAAAAATGTACAAAATTAAAAAGGGAGAGTATAATGAACGTTCCGGCGGTATTGACCTTGGAGTGGGGTTGCAGACAATCACATCTATCCAGAAAGGGAGCTGCTGGGAGGTTAACAGCGGCTGCGGATCCGGTGGTTTATTGATCCCGTTGGTTGTCACGGCTTCTGTATAACATTAGTACAAGAGCGGCGAAGGGTATACAAGCTAACGGACAGGAAGATATAAGATAAGGAGTAGTAAAATTTAGAAATTTATTTTATATGCGAAAATTATCAATTTGATAAAAAATATCAATTAAAATAACCAAGGAACTGTACTAAAACGACTAAATATGCCCCCGAATCTCACATGTGAACGTAGTAAAATGAACTCATAACTCTTGCTGTCTTGACCTACGAGAACAACTACTTTTTTTGTGTACAGCTTGCAATCTGAATCCATGTACTTGCAATTCAAGATAGTAAAAATAATCTATCAACTTATTTTTAATTATTATTATATTTCAATTTGCATTGTCACTTACTTTTCCGAGTAGACATGTAGGAAGAGATCCAATAGAGTTTGAAAATTTATATATTCATATATTATGTTCAATGAATTATGTACAGATTAGTAGCCAATGTTAGCATCAGAGTAACGGAAGGTTCGGGAGACTCGGCACGTCTGCCACTGGGATGCTGTGGGTAAACGTTTTACCCGCTTGGGGGATGATGAAAATAGGGCGCGGCTCACTACTACCTCTACCTTTTCCTCTGGTTTTCCACTTGTACATCTCAACCGTCTACGACGGGCGCAATCTAATCTATAAAATACAAAAGTCCCTGGAAATCGTTGCAAATACGTTATACTTTTTCTCTTTCAACTTTCATGTAGTCTACCATGTTTTAGACTTCCACTGATCAATTTTTCATTCAAATTAGATCTGTACATATCTAAAAGAAAAATTCATTCGCTTACATTATTATATAAAATAATACAGCCTTTCTGGGAAAACGAAAAAATTATAAATTCAAATTTCATAAAATATAATACATTTAATATATGATTACAATATAATTCAGTATATTTTTTAAATAACTCAAATTAAAAATACTTGGTTTGAATAATAGTGATTTAATATACTAATTCGATTTATAATGAACAAAATTACACTTTATATGAGGTATACTCAAAATAATTACCATGAAATTAATTTTAAATTTTTCATTGTTTGTAAAAAATAAAAGTTACTAATGAAATCAACTATAGCACTTCAAACGTTGATTAAATTAAAGATAGTATCCCTTATAACAAAAAAAATTAAATGGTATCGCTAAAATCTCTCATTTGTCCTGCTAAACCAACTTTTTAAAAAACAAATCACTTAAAAAAGAACCAATAAAATTGTTTAGTATTAACATTATCCACTAAAAAATCCTGGGTATGACACTGCTCATGAAAAATGTTTATGAATTAAGCCCAATGATATCTAGTGCCGACGGTATGTTATACATCTGGTATTTTTATTATGTATTGTTATGTAATTTACAATTTATTATCAAAAAATTTGTAACAGTACAAAAATCACTTACATAAGAGTTAATGAATAGTATAAAAATCAAAAAATATATCAAATAGAACTAATAAAATGAATAAATCTTAAGTACCTATAATTCTCCATTTTTATTGAGATATTTACTGCTTGGTCTTAACAATATTTTAATGGGAAATTTTTTTTTAATTTAATCATTTGAGAACTAAAAATATTATTTTTTTAAAAGCTTTAAAAATGATTTCATTTTATTTTTACATTTGCCTGTATTATAATGAATATTAATCAAAATATAGAAATCATGTTTTATATAAAATTGTTCATTAGTTAAATTATCAAAAGGGTTTATAGATGAAAAATGTAATTTGTAAGTTTTCAACAATTAAATTTTATAAAAATTTTTGTTGTTCATCGTATTATTATTTAGATATTGATATACAAAAATTCATTTACTTCTAAATGTCATAATTTTTCTTTGCTAGGAAAAAGCTTAAAAGCAATTAAACCCAAAACATGTTATCACTAAAGAATATAATACAAAAATCAAATCATAATGCCCCGGGCTATTTTATCTTAGTTCACTGCTGTTTTTCGCAGATTCATTTTTGTAATCTTATCTTACTATTTTTAATTTTTAAAATTAACTTATTTTATAAATCATTACAGTACTCCCAAATTCATTGAAAATTATTCATATTTTCTGAACTTTTGTTCATTATCAATTAAATACATTGTTTAAACATTCATATTTTTACGATTTTAACTATCACTGATATTTTATCCTCTCACTTCGATAATAAAATAAATAATTATAAATATATTTAAAATATACACAATTTTGAGGTACTAACGGCTATTATAATAAGTTATAATTATTATTTATAGATCTAATTATTTAAGAAAAGAGATTCAACACGAGTGTTATCACTGGAAGTATCTCAAAGATATGGTATGTTAATTTATGATTTATAGATTATAGTCTATAACGCCTATAAACAAAGGGATGTTTCAGTTTTTTGTATCGGGGCCAATTTTTCTTCAAAAACATTGTGAGTAAAAGTGACAAAAATTTATTGAATGTACTATATTACAAAAAGTAGTTCCAAAGGGAACCATGGCGCCTATTATTAATGAACCTTGATAATTGGCTGCAAATCGTTAGAGTAATAACACATTCGATGAAACATAATTTTGATTAAACTATATTAAATAAATGTTGCCATTCCACTGTGTTTTAAATATAGATCTTTATTACACGTAACTAATTACTTGAGTTTAAATTAAAATTACTCTACTTTATTATCCACAACAAGCCCGACAGAAGTCAGGCCATAAAAGAAAAATTAAATTTCTAGACTCCTTTGAGTGCTCCCCACCACGGAAATCTTTAGTAAAAGGCGAAAGATTTATTCGTATTGAGAGGGAGCCGGAGTTATCTAATTTTCAATGTCTGAAGCATTAAATGAAATTGCTCAATCGGTTAAATATTGTAGAACGGTCAACTGTGCATATCAGAAAGCATTAGAGGCCTAAAGTTTGAATACCCGAAATTTTATTAAAAATCAAAACATTTCAATTGTTAAATTAAATATTTTGTTTACTAAAATTTGTGACTGACATTTTTATATTTGTTACTATATTAAAACTGTAAATAATAAAGATCTTCAGCAATGTATCGTCAGCGCTATCTATCCAAATATACTAGAGTCATTCAGCTCATTGGCAATATGATGAACTGGTTTTTTAGAAAAGTACTTTACACGTGCTGTTCAATTAAAATTATTTACACTTATGCCAACCACAACGCCAGTCATTCGTTCTTCAAAATTTGGAAGTTATTTTCTCCGTAACATTGTACATTTAACATTATGTACACAATACCTCAACCATATTCTTATGATAATAACATATTATGAACAATATTTTTCCTTGATAAGTATTATCGTATAAAATTATTACTAAATTGTATAATTTTCAAAGTTTTCATATTTGTTACTATATTAAAACTGTATTAGATAGAGGTCTTGATAAAAGTATATTCTGTGCTATCTATCATAGGATAGTAGTGTCATATCTAATTTGTATAGTTTAATATACTAATCCAGTTATCTATTACTTATATGTTTAACTACAAATTATATTAAGAGGTTTAAATCCTGAGATTAATTAATCGCCCTGCCAGCCAGGCGAATAAGTAGCCCTTTTGTCTTGCAAATAAAATTATCTTTTATTTACTTTTCAATCTACAAATGTCGATAGAATCTTATAAAAAACACTAAAAATATTTTATGTTCTTTATCTTTATGTAAAAATTATTTTTTTTTATACATATTGTCATTTATATCTCCTTAATTGGAAATTTGAGTTTTATAAATATTCTGTGATTGTTTTAAAATTTAAGTATTATTATAATGGTATTAAATTGAAAAAAATGAATGTTGACTCAATATCCTAAAGTTAAATTATAATTTCTTTTAATATTATAGAAGTACAACAATAATATATTTTATTAAAAATAAATTAGAAGTTCTGATTGTAGAATTTAATGTATAATTTAAGAATGTCCCACTACATGTACACTTTAAATACATAAATACCTGTTCTTTATAAAAGCAAAATATACAATATACATTTTATGTAATATAAAAAACAATATAATAATTTTTCAAATAGAATGATAAAATATTTACAAATATATCACTAAAATACTTATATTTCATTTTATACTAATTTAGTTAACCTGAAAGTATTTCTGATAGATATTAAGTATAGTTGATAAAACTATCAAAAGAGTATTACCAAAAAAATTAATTGAATATATGATTTAGAATTCCTTAAAATCAATAATTTTTATTTCATTAATTTTTATAATAGTAATAAAATGTATACTTAAAAATTTAAGCACAACATAAATTACAATTTTGAAACATTTATAATATTTAATAATGTATTTTTTTTTACCCTAAGAAATAATTTATACAACACATAATTTTATAAATTTTTGAGGGCTGTCTCCTTTAACCCCACTAAATGAGACTTTTACTTGAACATATTAAATAAAACCTTATACATGACTCAGTTAATTCAAGATGGTAATAACATAAATATGGGAATCTAAATTAAGAACTGTACAATGTTAAAAGGCTTCAGTTCAACATTTTATTTTTACTTGATTATCTTCTACAAAAATTTATTTACAATTTAAATTTATATGAAAAATTTTGTAAAATATTTTTTTATGTTACATAAAATAATTAGTGAATTGATTTAATTGTATATGATTTGAAATACAAAAAGTTGTTGTTGAAATGTTTATGAACTTATTTATAAGGTTTGTTTTATTTTATAAAAACTAACTTTAAACAACTTTAATTAAAAATTAATAGTATCCAATTTTCATAATATTATATTTATACAAATTACTACAAAAACATAAGACATTTAATACTAAATTATACATAAATAATTGTATTATTCTTTATTATATTCAAATGTATTATTTTTTTTTATAATTATATATTTTTATTTGGTAATATTTTGTCTTAATTTTGAAAATTTCTTAGTGTGTGTGTTTAACACCATTTTTGAGATTAACACATTTAAATCTATTTTCCAACTGTTTAACACATAACTTTGTTTTATAATTTGATGTTTTGTATCAAATAAGAACTGAAATATTAAACGATCTCAGTATATTTGAAAAGTATTTAATATATTTAAAAAAAAATTACTCAACACTAAAATATAAATTATTAACTTATTATGTTATACTTTGAATATTTTTTTAAATAATCATTATGAACTCCTAATAATATATAAATATGCAACATTTATTTATCATTACATTCTTGTTTTTGTGCCTTTTTCAATTTTATTTTAAACTTCTTATGAATTGTTACCTAAAAAAAACAAATATAATATCAATAATGACAACTGTATTTTCGAGCAATATTTCAATAACATAAATATTAATTCAGAATGTATTCCTAAGATACTTAACAGAACAATGAGCAGACCAATGCAATCTTAACAAATTGAGTATTAAAATATTTAATTTTATTTACGAATATGATAGAGGAGAATACAAAGTAGGTGAAATGAAGAGTTCAGTGACAATAGGCGAGAACGTGATAGGAGAGGAAAGAGTAAGTATTTAGGATCAGTTGTGCAAAGGAGCAGGGATATTGACGAGGATTAAGTGCGGATGGTTAAAGTGGAGAGAAACGTCTGGTGTGTTATGCGATAAAAGAATTTGAATAAGACTAAAAGGTAAATTCAATAAAACTGCAGTTTGATTCAGAGTGTTGGGTAATTGACAAGAAAGTAGAGCAGAGAATGAATGTAGCAGAGGTGAAAATGTTTAGATGGATGAATGGAATGACTAGAGAAGATAGGATAAGAAACGAACATATAAGAGGGAGTAGAGGTGTAACATCAAGGGTGGTAAACCCCAAGTAGTTGAAATTAAGGCAAGGAAAAAGAAGAAGAAGAATATTATTTACATGTTATATCAATATAAAATTATTGACTATTTTTCTAAAGTAAAGTAGTCTATGTTGTTTCAAACAAAATTGACTGTATTGTGAAACTAAATTATATGTAATAAACCAAGAAAATAAAATAATTATTTCAGGAATAAGTTATTTATATTAATTATCAATATTTTTTTAGTATTGCACACAATCACTGGACAAATAAAAAAAAGCGATAAAAAAGCTAGAATTGGACATGCCATGATTAATTGTTAACTATTTTCAAAGATTCTATTTACATACTTGGATATGAATAAATTAACAACTAAAAATTTCACCTTTATTATCAGATTATAAACAGATAATTAACTTTAGAAAATCTTCTTATATAACAGAGCAGAGAGGAAATTTAATGTATTAAATAAGAAAAATAAAATCTTTTCCATATCAGCATTCGAAATACTTTCACAATTTGACCTTACAATATTTATACTTTACATGATTATAGCGATAGAAGCCCAACATGAGTCAGGCCATAACAGAAAAATTGAATTTCTAGACTCCTTTGAGTGCTCCCCACCACGGAAATCTTTAGTAAAAGGCGAAAGATTTATTCGTATTGAGAGGGAGCCGGAGTTATCTAATTTTCAATGTCTGAAGCATTAAATGAAATTGCTCAATCGGTTAAATATTGTAGAACGGTCAACTGTGCATATCAGAAAGCATTAGAGGCCTAAAGTTTGAATACCCGAAATTTTATTAAAAATCAAAACATTTCAATTGTTAAATTAAATATTTTGTTTACTAAAATTTGTGACTGACATTTTTATATTTGTTACTATATTAAAACTGTAAATAATAAAGATCTTCAGCAATGTATCGTCAGCGCTATCTATCCAAATATACTAGAGTCATTCAGCTCATTGGCAATATGATGAACTGGTTTTTTAGAAAAGTACTTTACACGTGCTGTTCAATTAAAATTATTTACACTTATGCCAACCACAACGCCAGTCATTCGTTCTTCAAAATTTGGAAGTTATTTTCTCCGTAACATTGTACATTTAATATTATGTACTCAATACCTCAACCATATTCTTATGTTTACATAACATATTATCAACAATATTTTTCATTGATAAGTAATAATTATTATCGTATAAAATTATTATTAAATTGTGCAATTTTCAAAATAAATAGCCTAATCAAGCCCCGTTATCATTTATAATTGAAAATAATTGGTTATTTTATTTAATTGATTTTTTATTAAAAAACTTACAAGGAGATAGATAAGAGATGGTTTGTAAATTCTATCATCTCCAATTATGACTATTTTTATTTGTTATCATATTATATTAAAATTACAAAACGAATGAATATTTATATGTCTTCCCTTAGTTATTTGAACCTCTACTTCTGTTGCCTTAAATTATACATGCATCTAATGATATAAACTTAATATTTCTTTTAGTATTCCTTATCAATCAATATTTTCTCACTTATGTATTAAGTAGGAATTCATTTACATTAATTTTTGTTGGTTCAGAACTTATTAAAGTCATTAAGCATTAGAGTTATAATGTAAGTAGACAAGAGGTATACTACTTTGTTGGAATAATATTAGCTGCTGATATCTATTGGCCTAATCGATGAATTAGGTTTTGTCTGATCATCTTTAATCTATATAAAAAATAAAATCTAGATTAATTGAATTAAAAATATTGACATATGATATATAAATATATATCAATTACATGATGTGCATAATTGACAATAATAATATTTCAAAGAAAAATATGTCTAAAAGATAAGGTTAAACAATTATTTCTCAAAAGTCAGAAGTTTATAATTTAAGATTTATTAATAGAACTAATATTTAATGACATAAAAACACAGAATTAATATAAAAATATTGATATTTCCTTTATTTAACTCTAAAAAAGTTTTTGTTAATAATGTCAATTTGTAAATTATAACTTATTGGCATTTTTATCATGGTAGGATTTAATCATTTTTAAATCTATTAAAATTCTTGTAAATTTATCCTGGAAATGTGCTATAACCCATTTTATAGTGATTATTGTATCATTTTATTTATTTAATTTAGGTATTGTCATTTCTATACCTGGGTATTAAGAAGGTGCAGTTCAGAAATAACAAATAATGAAAATAAAAATATCAACGTCAAACTTTTGTATTGTAATTTAGATTCAAAAATGATTATTGACCAGTTATTTTCTTTATTAGATCATTGTCTATTTAATTAACTTGTTAATTTTGTATGCTACCATTTGATAAATAAAGTTGACAACCTTATTATGTTTAAGGAATGAACATAAATATACTTTATGATTAATAAATTAAAAAAAAATATATTTTAATTAAATAAAAAAAAAGTCTTATTAATTTTTGAATAATTAAGTTATAAAATGAATTATATCATATATTAACAAATACCATTATTTATTCTTCAAACATAAATTTTAATACTTAAGTCTGTAGCTCTCCAATACACTTTAAATAACTTTATAATTTAATTCAAGAAACATACCAATACAACATTATATTACAATTTACATTGGTGCTCTGGCAACATAATATAGCAAAATGAAGAACCAAATTATTAATTTAATAATTTAATTTCAGGTTTTTTTATTTTGTATTATATCAAATTAGAAAAATTAATTAATAGTAATATCACAAATTGAACTATTCGTTTTTATAACACTTAAATAAATGATAACATTGATTTTCTTGGAAGAAAGGAATATAAATAAATATAAATTATTGCTCAAAATCAAATTAAGTTACAAAAACTAAATTTGAATTTTTAATAAATTAATTTCTTTTAATAAAAACTGTTCATTAAATTATGACAGCTTGTGTAAGTAATTTTAATCTCTACTCGACTCTATGATTAGCCCTAGTATCAGAAGGATTAAGAGAAAATAAACTGTGTGGTAATAAAAAGGAGATGATCAAAAATAATTTTTAAATTAAAAGTAGAGGCTTCAGAGACAGATCAAAAAATCTCGGCTTACTTTGATTTGTCTTCCCATTGACAATTACTCAGTTTTATTTCAAGATTGAATGTACTCACTTAACTAATATTTGAAAGCTAATAAATTTTTTCTTCTTCTTCAATTAAGTTTTAATATTTTTATAAATAATCTAAAAGAAAACAATTCTCTAATATTAATTGATGTTTTGAGTATTTAGAAACAATATATTGTAATCCATTTGTCAAAATTAATATTAATAAACCGATTGGTGAATATTAACAATATCAATCAGTATATTAGTTATATATTTTTATCTTACATTAAGTTACTGTATTTAGTAAAACTATTCCAAAATTATTAATGTTTAAGAGTTTTTTAATTAATGTTATTTATTTAATTTTCTATCACCTATAAAGTTATTGTTCACCAATAGATATTTTATTATCTAAAAAGTTTTATGTGGATCGATTTTGGATTTGATGCAGAGTTGAGAGGTATTAATTTTATTATGGTGCCTTTATTTATTTACTTTTTTATGTTTAAAACCACTTTTTCTCAAAAATACTTAATGCTTCAAACATATATTAAATTAAAACTTGTATTACATAATATAAATTATAAAATAATAATTTGTCTCTATACTTCATCTTGTAAGTGCCAATTTGCTACCATAGTAACAAAACATGCTATTTCTGTGTTGAAATTTTTTTATTTTGTATCTTATTTTTCTAATAAATTATCATAACTTTTTAAAAAATTGACAGGTAAATATATTTTTTTGTAAATATATCTGACACTATTTTTAAATTAAAATTCTGTACAAAGAGGAGATTACAGTGATGAAATTTCATCAGGCATTATAAAAATAGTTATACTTACTTAAGTAAATTATTCTTCTTTTAATTTTTCCAAAGATTATGAATCAAAATCAAAATAAATAGTAAATATAAATTATAATAATACTTACTATGTAAATATTAAAGAATAAAACGCAACGTCGGGGCCATAGCAATAGTTGAATTTTATATTTATCAGTTCATTACCGTTATCAATTACTGCTGCTAACTGCATGTCAAAAAATCGTGATAACAGTTACGAACATCAATATCTTACGTCCAGNAACAGTTAAGAACATCAATATCTTACGCCCAGTTTAAATAACGATGGTTTAGTATGATATATTTATTTTTTACTCTTTTAATTGATAACAGAATATTTGTTTATTGACCCATGTCAATAAACATATCCAACCATGATAATACAATGTTTTTGAAATTGAAGTGATGTATAAAAAATTGGTGCATTATTTTTGCAGGCCAATTGGGACTGTTTTTAAAGTAAAGGTGCAACCGCACACCCTGACCCCCCAAATGACACCCCTGACCTGCCTACAGGAAGGATTCAAAATAGAAAATTTTGCACGAATGATAACTTTTGAAAATATTCTAGAAACACTGCACTCTTTAAACATATGTTAAATTTAAGTTTTTGTTAGTATGTAACACCATGCATATCCAGTGAGTCACCAAGTAGTCGATTCTTCTTTTAAATATTTTTACTCTACATTTTTATTATTGATGAAAGCTTAGGAGGTATTAACTGTGCTGCATATTTATTTATTTACATTTTTTCATAAAAAGTTATCTTTTTCAACTTAATTTATGAAAATTTTCTAGAAATACTCGGAATTCCAAACATATATTCAATTGAAGCTTATGCTACATTCTATAAGTTAAAATAAAATATTGTCGTGATGTCCAGTCTTCTATAATTTTATAACTAAAATTATAATTAACAACGAGGTTCAGAATAATCGAATTTTATTTCTTTTCTTTTAATAAGCCCAACTTCCAATTTTTATACAGAATTGTCATAGAGTTACAAAGTATGCAACTAAATAATAAATTTCTTCGTAAAAATTACAATACTAAATTTTTAATATGTTTATAGTAAGTTATAAAACTTATAATCAGGATATAGTTAAGGAAATATGAGTTTGTGTTGCTATAAGAATAATCCAATAATTCTTGTTAAAAGTTAAATACTATCTACGGATTTGCATAAAAGCATTTTTATGCTAGTGATTTTAATTACTGTCAGATATTATCTATACTTATTTCTATTATACCACGTTCCCATTGTGCTGGTTTTTTTAAATTTGATATTATTCGGCATTTTAACTCGAATATTCGATTTTATTCGATGCAAAAAATTTTTTATCGGTTCAGAATATTTAACAATTACTATTACATTTAATTATTAAATTTTAATAACTATTAATTATCGACTAGATTTGAATAAGACTTTCATGTTATAAAGATAATATTTTTGATTTTGTTATCAGTTTCTTTCAGTTCATAGTATTTTTAAATTTATTATTCATGAAATATTTTTTATGTTTATCCCTTATACTTATATGGGCGTCAACATTATTTTTTCATTTGATAATATACATTATTAACTATATTTATATTAGATAATTATGTAATTAAGAAAAGAGCAGGTTAATAACAATTTTTGGATGTGTATTCCTTAAGATATTAACATGCTTTTCAAATTTCACATTATTTTACTTTGTTATATATTTGTAAGTGTTTTTATCTGATTTATACAAAATAAATTGTATAAACCAGTGTGCAACCAGAAAATAATATCAAAAGGGGGAGTACCGCTTTTTTTATTCATCAAAATTTTTTTTTCTGAATTGCTATTTAAGAAAACTTGGATAAGAAGAGGCCTTATCTAGAAAATAATTTTAATGGGTTTATAAGAACAATAGGATAATTACTTATAAGTTACAAACATTTTAGTACATACCTTCTCTATTATGTGGGTATATAATAAACTATTAAAATAATTTAATAATATAAATTAATTATTTTATAAAATTTTAAAACATTAATGACACAAAAAAATAAATAAATAAAAGTTGCTAGCTTTGTCATTTTTTTTCAATATCACATAACTGTAATAAAAATTAGTTTTATATGATAAATATTGATTATATTTTTCTATTGTATCTAATATTTAAGTTATATTTAATTTATTAAATAATAATAAAAATTATAGTTAAAAAAAAACGAACATTTAATTCCTAAAAATAGTTATATATAACACTAGAGAGCGACACAAAGCCACAAAAACTCAACACTATATCAATAACGTCTCAAATGATGTTGTGTTGAAAGACATACTGATGATTTCAAACTTGTCAATATTATTGACGACAAGTTTGTTAAAACTATATTATAATTGTCTAGTAAATAAATACACTGGTTACGAGGTAACCGGTATAACAATATGATTTCTTCCAAAATTATTTTTACGTAGCCCATTTGTAAACGGGCTGTGTCAATAAATTAGTTTGTATTATTATTATTATTATTATTATTATTAATATTATTATTACTTAACCTAAACTTAAATACGCCCCTTCATCTTATAATATTAGACAGAGCGGGGTATGATCAGACGTGGCCTAATCTATATTAAAATTTGTTAGAAAGTCTTTCATTATTAGAATTTAAAGAATTTTTTATTTTTGAGTTATTTTGCAAAATTTAATATAATTTTCAATTCAAATTTCATTTTAAAATTATATGTTTACAAAAAAAATCACAAATGTCTAATGTTTAAAAACATTTCAGTTTAATTAAAATTTTAATATTGTTTTGTGAAACTTTTATTTACTCTAAATAAATTGAATATTAGCGCCATCTTACGGCATTTTCTTGGTAAATAATTTTCTATTAATAACGAAATTAGGATTGAATGAGGTTTTAAATGGAACACTTAATTCATGGTATTTGGATTTTTTATGTCTGGCGGCGTTGTGACTACTTCTGTTAAGAATTATTAATATTTAAAATATACAGAATGATTCATTTATCATAAATCACTTAATTAATCGAAAAATAAAAATGAAATTGAGAATTTTTTTACATGTTTTTCTCAACTTATCAATCATGAAGTATTTTTAATGTTTATCCCTAATATCTTATAAGGGTGTCAACTTTGTTTTTCTAAATGAAAACATACAATTAACTAGCTTATTTAATGTATAATGATCTAATTAAGCAAATGATCGGCCGAAAACAAATTTTGAACCAGTATTTCTGAAGTTTTTGTTACTTTTATACTTTTATAAGTGTGAAGAAGAGTGCGAATTAAAATTGACTAGTGATAAAAAAACAACATCTACGTTTCACCTCTGCTCTATATTTTAAAACGGTAACTGTATACGAAAAGTTATTATCGAACTATTTTAACCATTTACTCAGAACCAATAAACTGTGTATTAATAAAAGTAGTCTCATGAATTTCTGCTACAATTCTCAAATATTTGTTTTTTTACATTAATATTTTTTTTACTCTTTGCTAAGTAACTAAAAAAATGAATTACCCTCTCATTTGTTTTTAATTTTATAATGGATTTCTTTACAAATCGAAATTGACATGTTTGAATTTGTAAACAACTCGGGCTTGAATTGTCACGGTCAATCGAGAGAGATCCTCATCAATCATTACTTGAATGGAGACAGAAAATATTGCATTGAAGTGACTCAATTCATAACATCTGCGATGCGTTTTTGGCAAATTCTTATAATTTCGAATAAGAAGTATTGGTACTTATTGATTCACGTTTAAAAACAACAACAAATATCTCTTAAATATACACATAATTGTGTTAATCAGTGTAATGTAAGACAAAAACATAAAATTTCAATGATTAATAATACAATCTCGTTGCCTGCACTACAGATTAGCGGTACAAAAATATTAATTATAAATGTTTTTCAATAAATTAAGCTACTCTTAAAAGATTTTTTAAAGAAATATAAAAGTATTCAATAACTTCTTAATCAAGTTGCATCATAATTTCCACTATTAGTTATATTAATTCTTTATTGACAACTTATGGCAAATACTTAAGCAGTTTTTTAATAATTCAGTTGGCGATTTATTTGATATATAAAATCTCCTATAGACAGATAGATAGCGTTAGTCAATAAGTTTAATAAATAAATAATCCATAATATTTAGTAAAACCATTAAATTATTAATGATAAACCGATTATTTTAAGTTGTCTTAAGTTGCATTAATCTTATTATGCACCTAAATATTATTTTTATACAAAATTTTTAATGAGGATAAATTATCTCTAAAATAGATAATAATTAAATCATATTATGGTTTTGTTTTATTTTTAACTAAAATATTTTGGCATATTGATAAATTTAAATAACACTAACAAAAATAATAAACTGTTAGGCACATACAATACAAATAACAATAAATGTATTTTCGTTTAAATTTTATTTAATGTGGTCTGTTATACAAAACGGCGTTTCCTTTTAATTGATCTTATTTTATTTTATTTTTTATCAGTTATTTATACAACTTTCATTTAATTTCCATCATTAAATAAGTTACTTAAATTAACTGTTTACCCATTTCGTTATTTATGTCTTAACTTATAATAAGTTTACTCTAGCTTTGTGATGTTCAATTAATTAAATGTACTATGTTTATATGGTGTTTTTATAAATATTAAATAAATAAAATGTATAAATAAATTTATTTTTAACTTGCCTTTTAAACTTATGTACATTAGAGAGGACGAGAAAACGTGTACAGCTCTCAGGGGATGGAATCGATGGACGACGTGTTCTACACCTGAGAAGTAAAATTAATTGTTACTTATAACTGGGAGTGCGTTTCTCTTGTTTGTACTTAGTGCTCATTCTGTCCGATAGTATCTGCGACGTCTAATCAATCGTTAAAGTTTAACCTGATACGGCTAATTTTAACTTCGGTCATCATCATTTTTTATTATTTTGCTAAGGTGTGTATACAATATCTACTAATCAGATAATTGCAAACGTGTCGTGGATATAATAATGGAAAAGTAGAATTATCGTTGTACATGTCAAATACGCTGGTAGTGGAACAGTGAAGTAACGGGGTAAGATAAACGTAAGCAAGACATAATAACGTCGCTGAAAGAACGCAATAATGGACGTTTGCCAGCATTGGCGTTCCCTCTCCTCACCGGCCAGGCCGAAGTGCGACGTGGATGCTGTTCGCTGCCAGCACTATGCGATGGGTCGAA